TATAATTTCGAATATCGATTATCATTGCCAATTGATCGACAACGTTCATCAACTGATCAGCGATCTGGTTTGGGTTCTTTAGTTGAAATTTCTTTCGATAATGAAGTTGCAACATCATTCTTAAATTATGCTTCATCACATCACGTAACTCCATTTCAATTAGGATTAGCTACTTTTTATACATTTTTATTCAAATTAACTCATCATCAAAAAGATTTGTGTATTTCATCACTTAATGCAAATCGATATAGAAATGAATTACAAAATGTACTTGGAATGTTTGTTTCAACATTACCATATCGTATTGAGTTGAATTCTTATTGGACATTTGATGAACTTGTAAAATTTGTACATGGAAAATGTCTATCAATTCTTTCACATTCTCATTATCCATTACAACATATTCTTGCTGATTTCCACCTGAATCAATCGAATATTGCTTTTCTTGAAACAGTATTTTATTTTGTTTCTATGTCATTTGATATGAGTCAGTTATCTGTCCATGGTACAAGTTTGGAAGAAGTGTCATTAGATCAATCAACTGAAGTAGCGAAATTTGATTTCATGTCGACATTTATTTACAATCCACTAAGAGATAATAAAAAATTATCATGTTTTTTTGTGTGTTCGAATGATCTCTATGAAGAAAAAACGCTTGAAAATATTGCTCGACGATTTCAATATTTTGTCTCACAATTATTCACAATGAATCCAAGCGTTAAAGAACTTAATCTATGGAATATACCTATTAATAATCTCCAAATCATTTTACCGGAAGAAGCTAATGAACTTCATAAAATACTTTTTAAGAAAGTGTCGAATAGTATTAATGAAGGTTTGTATATTAATATGATTTTGAATCTATTAGTGTTTATGTATAGATGATATCTGTGATGTAATATTCCAAGTCGTGGTAAAAGGTTTTCTAATGACAAGAAATCCTATTAATTGATATCATATCTGAAGTAGAAAGCGTGTTGAGATAATCCACTGATTACTGTTTCTATATATAAGTCGAGCCAGAATATCGATGTTTACCCATTGAAATCCAACTATGAGAAATAATGAAACCGTGAGATTTTGCACAGATTCACTTTTTGATCTTCTAAAAGCTTCAAAAGTATCACTCATTTGTAAAAGAATCAGCATAGGACGAAAAACCATGTTTTGAGAAAACTGTTGAACAAGTCTGGAGGTCGCGTTGTCGAATATTTAGAGTTACTGCATACTAGCACCGTGAGTGAATCATATAGGTGAACAGAATAAAGAAAATATTTATAGGACATAAAACAGAACAGAAGATGTCTTGAATGGGATTCGAACGACACATTTTCGATGATTTGTGCAGATAGCCTAAATCAATTAGACTAGAAGAGACATCGTAATCTCAATTTAGCGCGAGAGGGAAGTATTATTAGCATTAACATTAAGAAGAAATAGGAAATTGTTTAACATAAGTAATATGAGTGGATCGAGGAAGTCTATTTTATAACTAAAATTAGAGCAAATCTTTTCTTGCGACAGTCGATTGTTCACACGAAATGGTACTAATGAAAAATTATTTAAGCATTTACGATGTAGTTTGATGAATTTATAGACGTTGAAACATAAAGAATTTTCGGAAAACGAAATCGAAATTTTTTCAATGTTTCATTTCTTTTGCGTAGTCGTTAATTGTTTTTTTTGTTGGTTCATTTTAAAAATTGACTTTTTTAAATAACGGGCGGTCAGAAATTTTTTGCATAAATCATTGAAAGCTGAAACATATATACAACATCTATGAAAAGAAGTTTTTTTATATTGATTACATAGCTTGTCATACCCTTTATCTGTCATATTTGACATTTCTGATTAAATCGTTGTTTTCAAAATAACTCATCTTCGTAAACGTGTTTTTACTATACTCGGAAAAAAAAACAAAAAGTTTTTATATTTCACAGAGTAAAGCGTTTTACCGAAATAACTCATTTACTTTTTGTTTGCCAACCTTTCTCACAGACCTTATCAGCAAGCATCGACGAAAAATCCTCTATAGATCCTGCTTGTTTTGTAATGAAGTTGGTATGATGTTCAAGGAGGTATTATATTGTTTTCTTGGCATAATTTGATATTAAAAGATCGGGTCAACATGCATAATTATTAAGTGAATGATGTGTTTCAATAAATGAAAGAAGTTTACTCAAATATTCCTTAATATAAAGATCAGCAATGACACCTGGACCTTTCGTGGTGTAAAAAAAAGTCTTGAGATACCTTTAACTGATAAAGCTAACCATACTACAACCCGTATTTTCTAGCATACTATTGTTTGCGAAGAAAACATATTTTTCATCGTCGAGAATAAAGAATAACTGTACTGTTGTCAGTTGACGTCTATTTCTATGATAATCTCTTGATATTTGTCGAAGTTGTTTTTTGTATACTTTAGTACCTTCTGATTTTCATAGATGTTGTATATGTTTCAGCTTTGAACGTTTTGCCCGAAAAAATTCCGACCGCCCGTTATGATTATTGTTCTGAATAATATTTCATATATTGAATCTCGTACTGAGTTTTATCTTCAGCAAAACTCTTCTGAAGATTTCTAGAAAAATTCCAGAAAGACTTCAACGTTCCGAAACAAAGAATTTAGGACAGTTTTTAACATCACTAAACCTTCAAAATGTTGGCTTCAGACGGACACGATCTAATTCAAACTGAATCCAATGACAAAGTTCAGTCCAAGTCAATAAAAATAGCCAAAAGACGCTGTATTTAAGCATTTTATCTACCATTCAACTAATAACTCGTTTGGAAGAAATGAGAGCACTTGACTGAGTGCATAAGATGAGTTTGCAAAACTAAGAACTGTCATAGGCATGAATCGAGCCACGGTGAACCCGTTCGATTCGATTCAGTCTCTCATGCGCATCTATATATACACACGCTGTTTTCAACACTCTTGACTACATTGATAAAAAAACGAACAAACAAATAGGATAAATTTATATGACACACTGACGAAAATAAAGAACTTGACAAATGTTAAAATAATATTGAACACATTTGTTTGTCATTATTCTGACTCGTCAGAATTGATTCATCTCTCTTT